CTAGATATTTTTCAAACTAAGTAATAGGCAGTTTAGGGTGTAGGAGGCCCAATGTCGTAACTTATTTCTTATGTGATTTCAAGCCACATTGCTTCATCTCTCTTAGCCTGGGTCTCTTCAGTTGTTAAATGGGAGCACCAATAGGATCTCTTGCAAAAGGCTGTGGTAAAGATTACATATACTACGCAGTGTTCCTAACTCATTGCCTGACAAGTAGCAAACACTCAGAAAAGGTTACTGATCAGTCACTGGACGGACCTGATTCATGGAATGTTTGGAGGGCTTGTGCATTCAGATATCATCAAAGAAGTGGGCCAGGAGTCAGGGAGCCAGTGCCAGCACCCTCCAGCCCCTAGGGCGGCGCTGTGTACAGTAAATGTCCTTTGTCTCCAAGGGTGTGGGAACATGAGCATGGTGCTCACTGACGGCTCCTCTTCCTAACTTCATCCCCGCCGCAGCAGCTTCTCTTGATTTATGTCTCCATTGCCGTCCTTCCCCAGAACTGGCTCTTTCCAGGGGGCTGGGGCACAAGGCTTAGGCCATGCTGCTAGAAAAGGGGTGTTCTTTGTCTCACCAAAGGGGACAGTGGGAAAGCAGAGAGTCCCAGGAAACAGAGTCCAACTAAAGTCACGGTTCTGTCTCTTTTTGAGGGCAGCTCAGTCCCTGCTTAGAAAGCAGGCTGGCAGCTCCGTGGGGTGAAGCCTTGACCTTGCTCTGTGCCTGCTGTGTGGCACGGTCACAGCAAGGATGGCTCGTGCTCCTGACCGTGGTTGCTGGGGTGGGTGTGGGGAAGCGGCCTCTCAGCATGCCTGCACTCAGCCGTGCTGCAGGAGGAGAACAGGGCTCTGCCTTCTGCCCGCCTGTTTTGCGGGCATGTTCTCTACAGCACGGGGTGCTGCAAAACAGAAGGAGAGCATCCCACCCTGAGAATCAACTCAGACACCTGCCAGTAACCTGGGGAGGTTCCAGCATCCTTTTCATGGCGACAAAGTGACTGTGGGCTAGAGAAGCAGGAGTCAACCTGACTGCTGCCATCAGGGCGGGGAAATGTGCTTTCTCCGCACCAGTAAGCCACAACTTGCAGCAGCTGGGGTAAGAATGGCTACACGCAGGACTGCTTGGCACTGTAGCACACACTGAGCTGGATCACGTCGTTCACTTCTCCCAGTATCCCTTCGAGTAATATTATTACTTATCCCCTCATTTACAGAAGTTAAAGAACTTACCCAGAAGGTTACCCAGCTAGAAAATGGCAAAGCCAGATTTCCAATTGAGCCAGTCCTGACCCTATCTCTTAGCCGCTTCACTGACAGATTTCTTTTTAAATTAAAACCAAAAAGAAAATAAAATTACACACACACACACATTTAACAACCATTCATGAAACAATACACATAGACAAAAATTACTGTAAAAGAGAGAGTACTTTCACCAGGCTGGAGCTGTGACACTGAGCTGTATCCCAGGCGAGAGGGTACTTTTAAAGGGAACTAGTGTTTTATTCATCAGAAGCATGTCCACATGTCATGGACAGTAGTCTTGTGGAGGTCAGGAGGGCTGTCATTTATTTGATCTGGACATGGTGCCTGTTGTGTATTCATTTTCTGGTGGTTCTTCCAAAGCCCAGTGGGTTGGGAGGGTCTGGTCATTGTTCTTAAATTACAGCTGGCAAAAAAGACATATTCCTATGCACAGTTCAAACCAAAGCGATGCTTAATGGTAGTGCTGCTGCCGTTGTGCAGGAGAAGCCCCAGTTTGACCCCAGGTCCCAGGGGTCGAAGCCCAGAGCCTGGTCCTGGCTGTCTCCCATGCTGCTGGGTCTCAGCTTGCCTCCCCTAGAAAACGCCAGACTGATGACCACTTTCTCACAAGAAGGCCAGAAGCAGAGAGCATGAGGCAGCCTGAGAGGCGGCCTCTCACCCAGGTAAAGAAACCTCCAGAGCGCCCTTCCCCATGCAAAGTGGGGCTTCTCCAGCACACAGGGTCTCTGCCCTCAGACGTGGCCACTGCCAGCCAGACTCTGGTGACATTCGCATCCAACTCGAGGTCCTGTCATTTTACTCTTTCGTCCTGACTCTGCGCTGTGGAACAATCGTGACCAAGTTCCATCCCACACTGGGGCGCTTTGGTGAACTCCATGAAGATTATGGTTTCCTGCCACTAGCTCTTCCTTTTCCAAGGCAAGAGGCCTCCCTTCACTTTCTTTGTAGAACACACCTCGGGAGTCCGCATCATCCTCATCAGGAGCATCTTAAAGTTGCAGTGACCAGGATGAACAATGGCACTCTACTTTGTTCTAAGTAATAACGGAACCACAATTTACCCAGAGCTATCGGGAGATCGAGAACACCAAGTGCAAGCCACATGTTGTAGGACGAAAGAATGAGTCTGTGAGGCTGGAGGCTGCGCGTGCAGGAGAGAACGCGATTCTCATTCATGACATGAGATTGCCTCATCTGCCCCAACTGCCTGGAAAGAAACAGAGTTTGACTGGTGTCATTCTCTGCGTTGGAACCGCATGTTGTGGTAAATGGAGAGTGGGCGTGTTTAAAGGTTGATCATTTCAGCTGTAGCAAAACTCATACCAGCTGCCATCAACTGCGCAGAGCAAGGGAGGCAATGTCTAGCTGGGGACAGTGCCTCTGCAGCACCACTCAGGCCATGGGTGCTTGACTGCCTTGAGCTTCTCCACCAGTATTGTGAAGACTGGGGTTGTAAGGGAGGAATCTGGGCTCAGAAAACCACATGCAAGTCCTGGCTTCCCTGCCTACTGACTGAGAGCCTCAGCAAATAAATTCCTTGGATTCTATGGATTTACATTTTCTCCGTGCAAGCGGACATGGTTGGTAGCCCCCATGTCACAGGATGGCTTAAAGCAGAAACTGTTGGTGAACATGTTTGGTAGACTGAACACATCATCAAACTGGTAGATATGGTATGTGGGAGAGACTTGAAAAAAGAAAGGTAAGCGGTCATTTAGCCTGAATTGAATTTTGGAAAAAGAATGCCAAGGAAAGATGTGGGGCTTAGGGACTGCTTAGTAAACATGGTAATTGTGCAAACTCTGGAAAGCCTTCCTCCTATCTGCTTAAGGGCCCACAATGGTTTCCTTCTCCCCAGCCTTCACAGGTTGTCGGCTTTGTATAAAAAGATAGCGGCTCTCAGATGGACCAGTGCACTGGCTTCTCAATTGGGTCTTTCCTCTGTTTACTGCACAACCCGGAAGCCAGAGCTGCCCACCAGCTCTCTTCTCCCTTCCTCCACACATCTTCCCCGAGTTCCCTTTCTAAGTCAGGTACCCAATGAGTCAGTGCAGAGACAGCTGGGAGAAGGAAGGGTGTAACCTTTGCTCTTGCAAGCTTTTGTAGGAGGCGGACTTTACACAAATGGGCAGAGATGGCAATTGCAATCCATGCTCCCAAGCCGATGGGCTAAGGTTCTCAGAGAATACAGGAGGGGAACAGAGTAGTCATCTTGGACGTTGGCAAAGATTAAAGAAGAAAGAAAGCACTGCCCTCCCAGTAACTAACGCATCGTGCATCGCCCCCTTTCAAGTTCACCGGGTACGTCCTCAGCTGTCTTCTCACCTGTCCTGACTACCAACCCTACAGAACACACAGTTCTGCCACCCTCCTCCAGAAATCTAAGAACCAGGCTAAAGACCTGGACGCGATCTCCCTGGGTCAAATAGTTCAGGCGCTTACAGGACTCTTCATTACATCCGGGGCTTTTCCAGCCCTGCTCTCTTGGTTCATTGGCTGCTGTCACTTAGGAGTTGGATTTGGAAAAGGATCACTGAGAAGAGCGCACAGAGGAAATGATTCCCCTGAGCACTTTTCCCGGAGCCCCTCGGTGGTCATGGAGACTGACTATTAACATTGCTGCCCCCCAGATGGCAAGGGGAAGGCGCCCTGCAGTGTGAAGACCTCCTGGCTGCTGTGTGTATGGCCGTCAGTGGGAAACCCTCCCCGACCTGCAGGAAACCCTCCCCAACCTGAAACACAGACTCATTAGTGTCTGAAGGAACGCATGTGGCCTGGCCCACACAGAAACACACAGAATTTCAAACTTCCTCCCTGAGGTGCTCTTCCTCGAACCCACAGCACACAGTGCTCACCCAGATTTCTTTATAAATGCTTAGCTGCCATTTGTTCCATACTGACCATACGCAGAGTGCCATGCACATTCACCCACTTATCAACCTGAAGAAATAGGCAGTATGAGTATTTCCATTTTGCAGATCTGGCCACTGAGGCTCAGAGACAAAGTAGCCTGCTCAGGGTCACACAGTGAGGGGTACAGCTGGATTTGAACCCAGGTCTGACTTCAGACTCCATCTTCAAACACTGCTCTGTACCACACTTACTCCCCCAAAACTGAAAATGAATTTTGTAACCATGTCCTGAGCTTCCCCATGGGGTGTTTTTAGCGCCTAAAATCAGGAGGCCAGACAATAGCACTGGGAGAATTTGCAGGGCTCTGGTCCCCAGCCTCAGATACCATGTCCTCCTGGGTGGAGGACGCCCTATGGCCGCACTCCCTCCTCAGGAAGACGCAAGTTAGCAGAAACAGAACTGACCAAGCCTTTCGGGACAGCCTGGGCCTAGTTACACAAAGACCCAAGTGACAAGTGCGGCCGTCTGAGCAGCTTCTCTGCGCTGGCGAACCCTCCACTCCCCAGTCTGGGTTTAACCAGAGCTGCTTTCCCTCTTTTTCATGGGAGAGAGGAAAATGCCAAGCTCGCGCTAGCCATAGCATCCATCAGGAGAATTGTGTGCTGACTCACTCTCACACCTCCTCCCCTCTCTTCCTCTCTCTCTTCCCCAAAGCAGTGGCTATGGCTTGAAAAAAATAGCAAACAGATTTTGTTTTTTAGTACCTTTTCGTTTTCCCCGGTCAGCATCGTGTGCCAGCATATTGTTCGGCGGGAATGCCGCATCGAGTTGTGAGCCTTAAACATGAACGCCCACCTCACCTCCGCCCTCTCCTTCTCTCTTTAGGTGAAGGCCGCTTCCAAATACGTGGACGTACCTGTGAGTATTTGAAAGCTGCTGTTTGTGGGTTTGTCACTGTGCTCAATTTGAGTGTTTATTTATTTATTGCACTTTCATGGGAGTTTTAACGGTGCTGTCTTCATTTGTTGCTGCTGAACTGTACAACCCTAACTCAGATCATCGGAAAGAGAGAGACCCAGGCTGTCCCATAGTAGGATTTTTTTCCAGAACAGAAGGCATGGTTTCCTTCACCCGGGAGGAAAGGGCTGCAGAGTAAGCCCCGTCCCCTTTCCCTCTCAGTTGATTTGGTTGTTCTGGTCCCTTTCATTCTGCTTTCCTCCGGCCCACCTCCCCTCCTGGAGACACCTTGGGAGCAAAGCACTGCAAAACACATTTGCACAAGGGCACCAGCACTTTTTTTAAACAAATAATTTCTGAATTTGTTCATTTTTGGGTCAATGCTGCAATTGTTTTAAGAAAACCTTACAAAAACTGCTTATAATTAGTGCAGGCCTCATTAATGAAGAGAGCCCTCAAAGTTCACAGATAAAGCCCTCGAAGTTGCCCAAAATTTACATTTAAATTGAGGTTAAGTACTACCCATGAATGCTAAAGTGTGGGATTACCTGTGATAAACCAGGATACATTTATAGACAGACTTTGTCCTGCCTATTAGCAAAATAAAATTGGAGAGATTTAAATATATTGCAATAAAGGGGAAAAGGAAATGATTCTGTTTCTCTGTTTCTAACAAAAGAAGTGTGAGTCTATTATAAAATATTAAATTTAGAGAGCTTATCTCAACAGCTGCCAAGGGCCTTGTACTGAACGTTTCTCATTCTGAACGTGGTTAAGTACCCTCCTTGTTCAAATACTTATTTGTTAAAATTTGTTTTTTTTCTAAAAGGATTTATATTAACATTTAAATTCATTTCCCCAGGAAGCTAAGTATGTAATGGTTTATTGGCTTATTTCTCAAAGGAAGACAAAATGGAAAATTGGAGTGAATTTAGCATTAGCCTATATTTTGTTTGTTTAATGAGAGAATGTACAATCAATAATTATGCTTTGAATTTATATAATACTTCTCATCAAGGGACCTCAGATTCCTTGTGTAGGCAGAAGAACGGGGAAGAGGAAAGGCTCACAGAACTGCAGTAAGGAGAGAAGTTGAGCAATTTACTTTTTCAAGTCCCAAAGTAGAAACTTTCTTTTCAAGGGCCCAGTCCTCTCCATCTTTAAAATGGAGATGGTGATACCTAACTCCTGGGCTAGCTGTGCAAATTAAATGGCACTACACACATGGCACTCACTACGCTTTTTGGCAGAGAAGGGCACGTGGTGGCCGTGATGGTGGTGGTGGTTTAACACCCAGGGCGGAAGCCTGACGAATTTGCAGATGTCAGCCGCTCTCCACTGGCCTTCAGTACCCAGAGATTGAAATTCTAAGCTCCCAACACAAAGATACGGTGTCTGAGTCTGTTTTCCGTGGGCTTTGAGGCTGAGGGGAAGTCTCAATGGCAGGGTAAGGACAGGTGACCTGTAGACCCACCCCGAACACAAGGAGGGATTTGATCTGGCCATCACTGTTAGCCACAGACAGTTAGGGTGAACTACACGTGAGTGGCGTTTTGAAGAAGTCCCACAAAGTCCAGTATCAGCAGTTTCCTATGAGTCAACATACTGATTCCTGAAAGCCAGGCTCATATTCATTGTAAAGATGGGGTAAATAGATTCTAGGTCAACAAGCGAGTGTCATGACCTGGGGTCGTTCATGGGTTCCTGTTATACTAGAAGTCTTGTTGAGCTATGAAAAAGAAAGAGAAAAAGAGTTCACAGAATTTCCACCTTGTAGAGAGGCAAATATAATGCAGCTTGCCCTCAAATGTGGTACATTTTCCACTGATGATATGCAGCCTAGTTATAATTCCTACGTACTACACCCAAGCCTTATAAAGCACTCCCTGTGTGCCGGGCACTGTTCTAAACCCTTTACACGTAATCTTTCCAAGCACCAGACTTTAAAGATGAGGAACCTGAGACACAGAGAGGTTCCCTTACTCAGGACCACACAGCTGGTCACGGGCATAGCTGAGATTTAAAGCAATGTTTCTCAATACCCTTCTATGCTGTTGGATGATTTTTAACGCAGAGACACATGTCTTTATTTTGGTAGGTGAGTGATTATTTGGTATTCACAAATATATGATTAGCACATCCAACTCATTACTGCATCAGTTGTTAATGGCTTAGCACCACACTGAACTTTAAGTTGATTAATGTGTGCTTTCATAGCTCATATTATAATAAATGTTTTATTTAGAAAGTACATAGCTTATAGAAAACAATAACACATGATACACATTTGTACTATATATATAATATATAATTTATGTATAGTAAATAATAATGTACTTCTAAAAATAATTTACTTCTAAAAATAGCCCTATTAGGGGGATATTAATTTCATCATGTTTTATAGCTAGGGAAACTGAGGCACAGAGGTTGAGTAGCATCTCAAGTTCTGCTAAGTAGTGAGGAAAGATTCAGGGGGTGTTGGTTTGATCTTACTCCACTTCGTGCCTGTCACTGCTCTCTGGAAACTTGAAATCAGCTCTGGTGGGAGTTTTTACACCATGGAGATTGGAAAGCACTATAAATCAGGACTTGGTTTTTTATCTCACTGTTGGTTTTGAAGAATGTGGTCACTGCACCACAGACTGTCACCTAACCAGTGGGCGTCTCCCAAACCAGAATGTACAGCAGTAAGACTTGATCACGCTCTTGATTTGTTTGCTTATTTTGAGATTTCCAAACCTTGTCTCCAGAGATTCTGGTTCAGCACTTCTGGGGCGCAGCCTGGAAATCCCTTTCTAAGACGGTCTTTATATAATTAAGGCTTGCTTGGAATGCTGAAGTTTGAGTTGTTTTCCTCTAATTCAGGAGTACCCTAGTAGGAACAAGCTAAGATTAAAATGTCCTATTTTCCCCGTGCCACAGCGTGGCTTATTCACAAATTATATCTGCTGCATGTGGTGGTGTTAACTCTACAGAAACTTACTTATATTTCTTTAACTGTTTCCTCAAATCTGTGCCATACCCCATCAAGCTGTCAGAGGCACATTTGAAAACCATCACCTAAAAGCAAACCCACTGTGTGTGGCAGCAGTGTGGTGGGAAGCTAAGGTAGTAGCAGCTGCTCGGCCACGTATAACAAGCTTAGCTTGTTTGTCAATAGTTTTATCTTAGATGTTTTGATTCGAATCTACTTAAAATGCATTATATATCTTTCCTACCTTTTTATCCATTTTTTAAAATACTGTGCCATTTCATCTTTCGTCGCAATGGCTCAGGTTCACTGCTGTGGCATGCCTTCCCCCAGTGGCTGCAAAGTGACCTGCACCCCCAGGGCCTCCCAAGGTACAGGGGCAGCTGCCCCCAGTAACTCCAGGCCCCAGGCATGAGTCCCCGTGTCCGGTGTTGAGGTCTGGCAGCCTGCTCCCCAGGCCAGGGAGACCAGGCAAAGTGAGGGTGTTCTCTTAGCAGCGTATCTACCTGCCCGGTGTGGTGGCACACACCTGTAATCCCAGCACTTGGGAGGTTAAGGCGGGAAGATTGCTGTAAATTTGAGGCCAACCTGGGCTACATAAGTGAGTTCAAGCCCAGCCTGAACTAGATAGCAAGACCCTGTCTCAAAAACAATTAAAAAAAAAAAAAAAGAAAAGCATACCTGCCTAACAATTTCCTTCTTCATTCCTGACCCATCAAGGGCTGGAAAGCAAACAGGCTGGAATTTCATGTAGAGCTAGCAAGAAAGGAAGATAGTTGGGAGTGGGAGACTGAGGACTGTTATAGGAAAATACACATTTTTTACAGATTTTATCTTGATAGAGGCTCCACTGAGACCCCTTTTTTTTCTTGTTGATCTAAAGTAGATTCTAAAAGTATTTAAGGTTATGATGTAATATAAAATTGTGGGAGAAAACACCATAGTAACTCCTGTTTGTACTGCAATTTACAACTTTCAAGGCATTTTCATGAACATTATTTTAGAAGATGATCATTAATAATCCTTGCAGGTAAGTTGGGGAGCTGTTACCAATCCCATTTTGCAGATGGCATCACTGAGATCCAGAGAGGTCTGAATGATTTGTACAAGTTCCAGTTCATGGAGGATTGAGTAAGAATCCATCTAATGGATTGAAGAACTTTACTCATTTATTCATGGATTGGTTCACCAGCAAATGTTTACTGAGTACTTACTATGTGCTAGACACCATTCTGTAAACAAGGTCCACTGCAGACAAAAAGCCAAAGGTTTTTTATGGAGCTTATGTTCTAGTGGAAGAAGACAGATAAAAATGAAACAAATAAGTGTACAATACAATGTCGGCTCTTGGCAAATGCTATGGAAAAAATAATAAGAAAGAGAAGGAAAACCATGCAGTTTCTTAACTACCAGGGTGACATGAGCCAAAATGAATTTTTTTTAAATCAAAGTTTTAAAAACCTAAATGAAATGTCCCTCTGAGGACAGGAAGCCTTAGGGCAAGGAGGTGGAAGGGTGACAGTAGCCATCCTCTATGTCAGGGTACCATCCTGGCTGTTGAGGGGCTCAGGGAAGCTGGCCGTGGATTGCAGCTCCATGTACAGCTGCACGTACCTAGGAGAGAGCTACATCAGCCCCAGGCTTCCCCAGGGAAGCAACGAAAGCAATAATAATAAGCTTCCGTCCCTACTGAGTGTGTCCTTTGATATGCAGCTGCAAAGGGAGACAGGAGAGGTGCCAGTTGAGAACTGATAGCTTACACTCACATTTCATTGGAGAGCTGCTATTGTTTCGTATCATAAAACTGCAACAATTATAGGACCATCACAAACCCATTCAATCCATTTGCTGAAAATTGCTTGAAAGTGTAACACTTGACTACTGTGGCTTGGGGTTGTCCTCATTGTTTTTCAAATTAATACCTTGTCATTGTTTCAGCAGGTGTTAAGAAATGTTACTAGCATCCCAGGGGCCAAGCATTGGCCCTTTGCTTGATAATTGTTTGCTTTGTATCAGGAAAAAAAAAATACAGTCCTACTGTTTCCAAACCTTCCTCATTTTCACCCTGGAAATTACACAGAAGTGTTAACTAACTTCAATTTGCAGTGCCTGACAGTTACGTCTGCTAGAGAAATGATACTTTGTGATCTAAGGTAAAGCACAGTAATGAAAACTAATCTTTCTAGTTATTAGCAAACATACATGTCTGCTGTGGAAATTTAAGGGGTTTGTGGCAGCTCTCCTTGTGACCTATATTACAGGGTTTTAATAGGTTTCTTTGGAGATAACTTTGATTTCGACATCTCAAGCAGTATACATTCTGAGTTTCTTTCTTCCTAACTTCTTCACAGTAAATCATTTCCTAACTACTGGGTGAACCACCTGCTTACCTTCCCAGAAAAATCTAATTTATTTAAAAACCGAGTCCTCCCCTCTCCCCTGCCTTTCTCACTCCCTATCCTCAGGCTTTAAAGCTGTACAGAAAAGCAAAGGCAAATAACTGAAAATCTCCTCACAGTGAGCTGGTTAGCAAATATTCACCATGTACACTCGTTAAATGGGAACTGGGTAGGAGCGCGTACAGGCTGAAATATGTCTTCAGCATTTCCTCAGTATTTTGTAAAGAAAGAAGGAGGACAGACCATGGGAAGCAGAGTATGTTCTTTAATGGGGGTTTCACTTCACAGCAAAGTCAGAGAGTATCTCTGGATTATCCAGTGAAGATTTATCCACTGGACACATTTAACAGAAAAAAAATTAACGGCTAAAATTAGATCCATAAAATCCCACAGTTCTAGCTCCCTTCTTAGCCAGGCTTGCTTCCTGGAAGGAGCAGGGGCTTCTAATGTAATTCCTACCAGTCCAGGTTACTGAGAGCTGTGCTGTAGCCAGAGGTGACCCCACAGAAGCAGTGAAGGATGTCGGGAAGCTGGGGTGGCGGTGAGGTGCGGAGGAATGAGTAATCGCTCAAGAGACGCTGTCTGAAAATTCCATTTTCATGTTTTGCTGTTTCTTTGCAGAAACCCGGAATGGATGTGGCCGACGCCTACGTGACTTTCGTCCGCCACTCACAGGATGTCCTGCGTGATAAGGTCAATGAGGAGATGTATATAGAAAGGTTATTTGATGTAAGTAAATGCCTTCTCCTCCTTGAAGACCGAGGAGGAGACCCTCCAAAATGTGACAAAATAAGAGACAGGAGGATAAGTCACATTTTGAGAAAATGGATTGGTCCTGAGTCAAGCACGATCTTTTCCTCTCCCTCTGCCCTAGGCTCGTATCTGTCGTGTCTGTTCCAAACCCACCCCTGGTGTGGCAGTGTCTCAGTCCCCGTCTGTGTGACATGCAGGACAGCACACAGCCTCTCGGCAAGCAGCGCGTTCTGCACAGAGCTTGTGAGGCAGCTTTGTCTAACTGGCAAAGACCTACCTTGGTTCTGGTCCTCCTTGCAATCTGGCCCCCCTTTAGGGAGCTGATCCATCAGGGATGCTGAGGCCAGCTCCCTCCCCAGGGGGCGGTACCTCCCTGGCGCCAGCTATGGCGTGCAGATGTACAGCCAGTGTCACATTCTTAGCAACTCGGAGACGATTTTGTTTTTGCAAAACCAGAAATCCTTAGCCCTGGGTCTTGGCAAACACTTCTGTGGGAGAATTCCTGAGTCAAGTGCCGTTCTAATCCCTACCCACCCACCACCCAAAAATCTAGGAGGGGAAGCAGGTATTCAAGAAGGGAGTACATCCAGCCACGAGACCCAGATCAAACTTCAGAAAATGCAGCTTTCTAAGGGTTAATATTTTTGAAGCAATGTTATTTCCACTGTGACTCATCTGTAGTGCAAAGCAAGCCACTGAGGCAAGAAAGAAAAAGAAGGGAAAAAGAATCTGCTTTGGTCTCAAATGACCTGCCTCTTTTCAGGCCAAAGCAGGTGAGGTTGCCCAATGTGGCCAGACATTTTGCATCAAGTTCCACTAAATCTGTCAGTGTAGACCTGGCCAGAGTGCATGGAAGCCGATGTCCTTGTCTCTGTGTGGCTCTAACTGTGCAGACTACTTCTGTCTCGTGAAATGTGAGCTCTTCCTGTCCAGGTTTCCATATATTTAGTGCCAGCCTGAACATTAATGTTTTGGTGTACTATGAAATCCTTGTTTCTATATTTTTTCTGTGATTGTGTTCACCAATTTACACTGAGTTTTGTGTGTGTGTGTTTTTGTTCCATAGCTAAGTGAGCTCATTGTTGGCACGGCTTTTGGATTCTGCAGCTTCTGACTTTTATATGCTTTGTCTTCCAGCTCATTTGCTTTCCTAGTGTGTTGAAAGGTTCCTTTCTCCTTTTCTTTTTCTTTTCTTCCTCCTTTCCAGTCATCCCCTTTCTGCACTCCACATCCCTCTCTCCTTCACCACCTTCTTTTGAGAAAACCCTTCTTACTTTTTAATTCCCACTCGTTCTCTCTCAGATTAAAATGGAACTTATCTCTCATGTCAAATGTTTTATCACATTATACCAAGTGGCATGAATTAGAATCAAATAATCTTCCTGTGTACATCTTCTAGCATGACCCACATCCACTGAGAATGCCTCATACATGCATAAAGCTCACCGGCGGGCCATCCCCGCTCTGCATGCGTGCCTTTATGAAAGTCCTGAGCCCGGTATGTCTGGGGCAAGATCTCCCATCCAATAGGCATTGAAAATAGAGACAGGCAGACCCCCGGGCCTGCAGTCAAGAGTGTGCACGCTCTGCCCATCTCCGCTGAATTCACTTCCAAAGCACAAATTTCCAAGAAGCCTGTGGATTGTTCTTTTCAATGCCTAGGTTGCCTTTTTATTCCTTTGATCAGCACCTTCTGATTCTCGGTTTTGTGTGGCCCGTGTGTACGTGTGCGCGTGTGTTTCCGTATGGGCGTGTGTGTGTGTGTGTGTGTGTGTGTGTGTGTGTGTGCAAATACCTTCGTGCTCGCTGAAACTTAAAAACATCTAGTACTGAATTGGACATTTAATTTGCAGTTTAGCCTCTTGCTTCATTGACAAATCAATTAAAAGTGCAAAGGGGGAAAAATTAGGGAGTATTGTTGAAGGCAGCAAGGCAAATAAATGGTCATTTCAGCGGCTCTTTTTAAGGGAAAGTGCAACCAAATCATTATTTAAAAAAACAGTGCAGCCTCGGCTGGCACAGATGGTACGTGTGGACTTGCCCGACCGGGAAGAATGCAGGCACGGGCGAGCCCTCCAAGCTTTGAGGGGGAGTTTACACTTGCAAGAAATATTACAGAAGTAATACTAACGTTACATTTAGGCTCAACCAGACTGCACAAGTACAGATGCTCTGCCCCCTGCTGTGTTGCGCTGGCCAGAGTGAAGTGCCCCAGCAATATCAGGAGAACCCCCACAACTTAGTCTCATGTTGTCCCAGTTTCGTTTGCCCGGGAGCTTCTTCCTTAGACCTTCTTATCTAATTCTAAAAACTTACCCATTCCTACTCTTCCCTTCCGTTCACTGTACCTGACTCTCAGCACTGCAGAGAAATCATTTTCAGGAGCTTACTTAGACATTTACCATCTTTCCAAATAACCTGAACCCCTAATTTATAGAATATATCGGTGCTAGGCAACCTAACTGATGTAGCACAAAAAAAAGTTACTGAATCTGTCATGAATCTGAAACATTTGTCATTTCAAAAACCCAGAGCTTCTCAAAAAGCTTCATTACCATGCAGCACTGAGTAATTTAATTCAGTACTTACTGCTTTTCTATCATCTAGCAGCAAAACATCAGATTACCAACATGTTTGATTATTTTCGGCTTCTGTTTCCTCAAGCATGGTGTTTATTTCTTTGCATCTATGTTCTGCAAGGCTCTCGTCTCCCGCAAGCTGAACAGGGGACCAGGAGTATCCGGGCAGAGGGGTTTGATTGTGAAAGCTGCCACCCGACATTTCCTGCTGCAGTGAACTCACTCTTTCAACTCTGTCCCTTAATGACTGCGGTCCCGGGGCAAGTGTCTCCACAATTGGCAGAACCCTATTGAGAAAGACTTGTTGATCTGGGAAGTTTCTCTTCCAAATTGTTGCATTTTGATAAATGGCAAAAATGAATAATAGCAAATTAACAATTTGAATGAAGAAGAAAGTGTTTGTGTCTGAGACTGTTTGCTGTTTTGGGGTTGCTGATTCTGACTGTAGTGTCGTTCTCTGGGTTTTTTGTTCCTGCCGGCATCTGTCATTCCAAGGCATGTTCTAAGGATTTCTGCTGTATTTTTAACTGTATTGCGAGTCTCAGTTTTCATTTACCTGATAAGTCCTGTAAGTTCTTGCCATTTGGTATTATTCCTTCTTTGCCCTATTAAGTGTGCCCTGGTTTGTTGTTTGTTTTTTGTATTTTTTAAAAAAAAGGCTAGACGGCTTCTGTGTGCACTTGTTATCTGAAAATTTCAGAATGATAGCCAGTCGTGTCCTGCTGTGTTTTCCGGTTAACCAGGCCCCTACTCAGGGCTCTCAGAGGCGGTTTTCTCTCCGCCTCGTCGTCGTCGTACTTTTGGCTGGAGGTGGGTGCTCGTGAGAGATCATCAGCACAGTATCTGGGACTCTGCATTGATGTTCTGCGTTTTTATCTATTTCATCGTGTAACTTAAGAACAAGCTTTCTAAATTCATCTTCACCAATTTTTTTTAAACCAAGCCTTCTCCAGGTTTCTTGGAGAAACACATAATGTTGCCTAATCCAATCGTTTTTTGCAGTGAAAGTTTCCCTATTTATTAATACAACTAGTCTTTGTGGTCTTCCATAAAATACTAACAATACTTTTTGATAATGTACCTTAAAAAGAACTTAACCAATCCAAAATAAAGTATTGCTCAGAATAGAATCCCTAGACTATTTCCCATGATATTTTAAGTGTACAGCTATATGCTTTTTATGTGCATTTTTCCTAAAGAAATGAAGTATAATTGCTACAAAATAAGTCTCTAATATTTAAAAACAAAATATTCAGAGATTTGAATCAAGAGAATATTCCAATACGTACAATAACATGAATTTAAATTATGTTAAATATGCTGAATTTTTAAAAGAAAATCAGATTGCTGTAAGACTCAAGTGGAAACTTGGCCTCCTTGACAATTATTGCTGATTTTTAAAGAAAATATAAAACATGGGTATGAAATAATCTCCATATTCCTGAAGCAGCAGCTAAAGAGGGATGCACAAGCTCAAGAAATAACCTGAAGATAGCGATTCAAAGTTGGAGTGTCCATAAATCATGCAGATGGCTTCCCCCCCTGCTCTAGTGATTAATTCAACATCTTCCCCAAAACAAAAACATGATTTTTGAAATTAGAGATCAGATCATCAAGACAAGCACCTAAGATTCAAGGTCTAAACAAAAATTAATTTATTTTCTTTCCTCCTTGTACTTCTTGAAGACACAGACTGAGAAGAAAATCGGGATTAAAAGAGATGTGCTTAGGGTGAATTCATCTGCTTAAACCTCACAGGCTCCGAGATGAGTGATTAAAAAGCCATCTCGAACTTGGATGGAATCCACAGTGGTGGTAATGCTGCATTCGTGCTGGCTTGCTGCAGACCCCATGTCATTGTGCACCAGGCCCGGGGAACATTTGACTGGAGATGATACATGGATTATCTAGGTCAATTATACACTTAATCTGCCTTCTGGAGGATTAAGTATTTGCAGATTGACTCTGCATTTGGCTTCTCCCTGGCAGTTATCAGATCAGGGAAGGGCCCTTCCCAAACTGCCTTGTAAGAACTTAATCAGGCAGCACGATCAGATTCGGAAGAGACTGCTGCTCAGAATTCTTTGCCTTACACAGATTTTAATTTGCTGTTCCATTGTCACACCGTGTGTTTGTTCACTTTATGTGGCAGCACAATAATCAAGAGTGATTATTTCTCTTGAAAGAGGTAATTTGAGAAATGAAAGCTTTGCCTATTAGAATATACTTGAACTCATATAGGAAGCCAAGGAGACTCTTATTTTAATAACCTCATTCAATTAGAAGAACACCATACGTGTGAACATGTATCAGTCAAAATAGGAGACATCGTGCTCCAAGAAGTACTGAAGAACAGGCCACCAGGAGAATATTGTGTCACGTCCACAAGGCGTATCA